AGGGCTCACCCCATTCCCAGATGAGCAAGACGGGCCGTAGAGTCTCCTATAGGCGGCATAGAGTTCACTCATTTATCAAACATTCCTACGCGCTTTCTAACAGTGTGCCAGTTATCAACGCCTTCTTCTTGGTTCCAAATCCACCTTCACCGAGGGACACTCAGGAGCAAGGGGCTTCTTCCTGGTTTAGCCTGTCCCTGTGTTCTTGCTCCTGCAGCATGTGGTTGGGGTGTGGGACCCCCAGAGGCCCTCACCCCAGCAGCTTTCAGTGGCAGCTTCCGGTCCCATGGGCCCCCTTGCTGGCTGCCCAGATAATTCCACATGCCCCTGCAGGTGGTTTCCTGGCCAGTTTTGCAGGTGCCAGCTGAACTCAGTGCGGCCAGTGGCATCCTGCAGCTGGGCCCAGCGTGGGCCGGCTCCTCTGGGGTGGCTTCTTGCTCACCAGCTGCTTGTCCTCTCCTGGGACACAGCCACATCCTCCCTACAAGGGCAGAATCTCAGCCTTGGGGGCAGGAGTGGGGGAGGGGAGGCTCTCCCAAACTCGTCCCCTCCTTGGGAACTCGGCCTGGGCTCTGGGCACAGGCTCAGCTGTCCCTGTATCTGTTACTCCTGTACACTTCAGTAGCTAATCCCCTGTTACTAATGATTACTTCATGTACATAAATATATAAATGTACATATATAAAAATTTTTATATATATGTACATATAAATTTATATGGACATAAAGCTCCCCCATATAAATCTATAAAGCTTCCCCATTGCTCTGTGGTTGGTTACTGACTCCTGATTGGAACCTGATGCAAGCAAAGTGCCAGGCGTTATTCCAAGTGCTTTGCAAATATTAACTTCCTCAATCCTGTGACAACTCCAGGGGAGGTATGGTGACTAGCCCCGTGTACCCGCGGAGAAAGCCAGGTAACCGATGGTTAGAAGCGCATCCAGCTTAGACGGCCAGGGTGAGGCGGGGCCTGAACGCGAGGCTAGTGGCTCCCGGATGCAGCCTCAGCGGCTCTGCGCGCTCCCCGTCTTCTCTGGTTTCCTCTGCACGAGTCATTTAGACTCCAGACTTTTCTAGGGGCCTTGGAGTGGATCACTCATTCATATCTGCTCTCTTCCCTGTAGTTATTGAGTACCTACTGTGTGTCAGGCATTGTCCGGGGGTAATGACATTTTTGGCCGGCTTGCTACATAATGATGGCAATTTCCAGAACGTGTGTTCTCTCAAAGACTAGGAATAGGTAAATAGAATTCCAACTGACATATCTGACGTTAAAAATAGGATAGTTTTCTGTGTTTGACAAGAAGACTTTTTACACTTATTTCGGTAGGAATTTTTTTTGCTCTGAAATACATTGTGTGTGTGTGTGTGTGTGTGTGTGCGTGTGTGTGTGTGTGTGTGTGTGTGTGTGAAATGTACATACTTTCTCAGACAGACACATTTGCTTTAGAATGTATTTATTCTCTAAACACTGTGTGTGTGGCCGGTTTCCCTGTGAAACTTGAACCTCGTGGTAGCATCAAAAGCCCCGCTGAGTTGCAGGGAGCAGAGCTCACAAACAAGGGGGCTCCCAAGGTCAGTCGCCAGAAGTTCTTTGTACGGACCCCGTGAGGTGCGAGTGCACTGCTTCTCAGATGGCGCGACGGGGCGCAGGCCTGTGCTGGAGAGGCTGCTGTAGTGACATTGAACGCTGGTTTCGTGGGCCTGCCTCCTGGATTGGGGAAACTAATGCTAGACAAAAAAAACTTCTGTAGGACTTAAAAGCTTGTAAAAAGCAAAAGGGCAAACAAAATTCCTTGGTAATCGCTGGCAATGAAAAGTATGAAAATCGCGCTTCAAATGGTGAGGTAACAAGAGAATCCCTGGGATTCAGTGACTTCCTATTTTCTTCTCGTAAGATTAGAGCCGTTAAATTAGCTCAGTACTTTCAGAAAAATGCTGGGGCAATGTATTAGCCAATCAAGTTATTGTTATTATTAATCATCGTCTTTGCTATTTCATCGTTTCCTTAGGAAATCTGGGAGCAAGCGATGGGCTCTTCCTCTTTTGCTTCGTGTTTGGTGCCTGGGAGCAATCTGGACTCCTAGCCCACCTGTGCCCGAATTTTAGGTACGGCCTCCGCCTCCGAAGCAAGTGTGGTGGTAAAAAGGTGCCATTAGGCATTTCATGGGCGCTGTCAGAGAATGTCTGCTGGGAGATTAGTCTGACCATCTGTGGACACAAGAGGGCACTCTACACAGCGGTACTGTAAGCCAGCAGGAGGGAGGGCAGGAAGGAGGAAGTGTAGGGGGAGTTGCATTCAGGCACCTCCTGGTCTAGCTGCTAGCTCCCTTCTGCTCCCCTTCTCCTCAGTTGCCCCAGGAAAAGAACTGTCCAGGCCCCGGATTCTCCCTCGAGGTTAAATCAAGATTGAGGCTCAAATCTAAGCTCTCAGAGTCAAAATTCCCAAATCTCTTTCTTTGACAAAAAATATGTAGGTCAGTTGTAGTCCAGCAACTTCTCCCAGTCGCCTCATTGGATGTCGCTTCCCAAAGAATGTCTAATCAGAACCTCTTTTTCCGACGCTGGCAGGACTGAACTGCTCGTGAACTGCGCTTCAAGTCGGAGGTGGTGTGTTTCTGGTTTCTTCTCCCCAACTCTTGTTTGGCCTTGACGGAGGCTCAGTTGTGTACTGATTGGTGCTTAACTTTCCGAGCTGCACAGCCTTCAGCCCCCTGGGAGTCTCAACAGCACAGAGCTGGGGTAAGCAGGTTCTTAAATGAAAGGTAAATGTGGAATGTAACTGGGAACCCAACAGGGAGCTTTGGATTTCACAAATGGAGTCTTGGTGCAACACAGGTGAATTCTGAAGTGATTCCATCTTCCTGGGGATGAAATGTCTCAATCTCTGCGAGGAAATATGTTCAAGAGAGAGGAGTGGATTCTTCTGGCTATTGTGCCTTAAGTAGAGAGACTAGAGTGCGCGCAGCCTGTGGATTTTTTAAAGGAGTTTAAAACATTTCAAAATATGTTTTTGTTGATTTTAGAGAGGACGGGAGAGAGATAAACATCAATGAGAGAAACATCCATTAGCTGCCCCCTGCACGCTCCCTACTGGGGATTGATCTGGAAACCCAGGCACGTGCCCTGAATGGGAATTGAACTGTGACCTCCTGGTTCATAGGTCAGTGCTCAACCACAGAGCCACTCCAGCTGGACTAGAACAGATTACTACTTACTGATATAGTATTTCAATGGCTGACATTGGCACCAAATAACTGAGATTACGGTTTCAAAATGCAAACTACTAAATGTTCACGGGGTCTACAAGAAAGGCAAAATCTAGGACAGTGATGGCGAACCTATGACACGCGTGTCAAAGGTGACACGCAAACTCATTTTTTTGGTTGATTTTTCTTTGTTAAATGGCATTTAAATATATAAAATAAATATCAAAAATATACATCTTTGTTTTACTATGGTTGCAAATATCAAAAAATTTCTATATGTGACACGGCACCAGAGTTAAGTTAGGGTTTTTCAAAATGCTGACACTCCGAGCTCAAAAGGTTCACCATCACTGATCTAGGAGAAAACTTAGGTTGGAACGCTTTTTGCATTTCTGTTGTTGTTGCTCCTTTGCGGTGAGCTGGGAGCATTTGCTATGTGTTTAGGAATGTGCTTGAACTTCTTTAACCCCAAGGGCAACCTGAGCAAGTGAGTCAAGGCTGGGGGTGGCTGGGTCCCACCCTGCCCAAGGCAGGTGTGCACTCCTGGTCTGGCAAACCCCTTGTCTTTCTGCTGCAAGAATGATTTGAGTCATCCTTAGAGCCGGCACATTAAACTGACATGTGTCAGTGGCGAGCCGAATCCTGATACACAAACTCTGTGCAAAAGTCCTTCTGTCTTGAAAAATTTAAATTCAGGGCCTCAGATGGAATAAACGGGAAGGCAGCCCTGGACATTTATCTTTCTTATTTGAACAAACAGCTCTTCCTTCCTTCCTGGAATGTGACTTAACATTTAAAATTCCTATGAAATCTCTGGGTGCACCCAGACCTCAGCAAGCCCTCTACAGAGAGCGCAGACATCCTCCTGCACTCGGCAAAGGAAGAGACGGATGCTTGCGTGGTGTGCAGGCTCAGCCGATCCGTGGAAGAGAATCAGAAAAATGTTAGAGCCGAAAAACAAGCATTTGCACTTGAAAGAGGCCAACAAATCTGTAGGACACATGGAAGTTTGCTGGGAAGCACTTTAAATTGAGCTGCCCTGCAGCCAAAGACAGGGACTTGGGGTTTGTCCCCCCCATCCCCCCCCCCCCAATCCATTCTTCCTGCCTGGGGTCACAGTAGCTCTTCCCTGCACAGCCCCATGTGCATCTGGGGAGCTGGCTACACCCCACTCCAGGAGGAGCTGAATAGCATGTGCTAATGAGCACGTCTCATTTGCTGCCCCCTCCCCCACTCTCCCCACCTTGGTGACTGGTTTAGGGAAAAGCCTGCCAGCCATCTAGGGCCAATGACATGCAAGGCCTTTGTGGGGACTAATGTGGAAGACACTTGCTCCATGCGGACGCTGTGGATGGACTTGAGTTTTAGAAGCGAAGTGGCCATTTGCTGCCACTCTGAATACAATGTCAGCCGCCGGAGGAAAGGAGACCTGAGATCATCAAGAGAAAGCCCTGGTCAAACGGGACCCCGAACGTCCTTGAACCCTGGACTTCTCAGTCACTGGACCAATGTTTACGGAGCTGGGCTGAGCCGAGGTTTATGTGACTTGCAACCAAGGTTCCAAATGGCCGCAAAGAACCTCAGGGGATGGGGTGCAGCTCCGTCTGTGTGTGTGCAAGGTGCTGGCGGGGGCCACTGCCAGGCATGGTGTTTCCTTCAGGACACTTGTCCCAAAGGAGCAGTGTTGTTCCGAGCTCTGTGCCACAGCCTCCAGCCTCTCAGGTTTTCTCGCAAGCACTACACATACATCCAAGAAGAACGTGGGCATCAAGAACAGAAACCAGCCGGGGGTCAAATGCAGCATATTTTAATTTGTTTCAAATAAAGCAATATATGTATATATATATGTATATATTTCAGAAAAACACCAGATGTTAAATTCTACAAAAGCGCATGTGTCCTCAGCAGATCATGTTTGTCTGATCGGTAAGACTGGTTTCAACAGCGACTCTCTAACCACGAGCAACGGACGGATGACACCACTGCTACTAGGCCGGCTGCTGCTGGGCCCTGATCGCTCCTGAGGGGCCCTGATCGCTCTCGAGCCCCGTAGCCACGGGCCCACCTTCCTAACCAAGGAGGGAGCGCCCGGCTGGGCTGCTGCAGCGTCTCCATGAGAAAAAGCATCAACGGGGCAAGCAAAGCCATGGGAGGGATGAAGCAAGCTAGAGCTGATTATGAGGATTAGTAAAAACGATTACGAGAGGACGACACCACCCCACAGGGTCTGTCTATTCTGATTGATTCTCTTTTGGCAGCGAACTGGGTCAGCACCTCGGGCCGGGAGCCAGAACGGAGGGAGAAGAGCTTTCTTGTCTCCCCGTTCAGGCCACCAAGGTCACGGCGGGGACCGAGAGGACCGCGGCCTCCGTGGAGACTTCTATTCTCGTGGGGCAGAGGTTGCACTGCGACACCCGGGGGACGCCGCCCCGGAAAGGCCGGGCCTCCGCGCTGTCTGCCGCGTGCTGCCTCCGCCGGGGCTTTTCCGGATGGGCAGGGGCCTCCGGGGCCTTTGTCCCCAGAGGGGCCTCGGGGTTCTTGGCGCCGCCGCCTTTGTTTTTGGGGCGGAAGCCGTTGTGCGGCTGTCTCCTGTGTTCGTGGCGGCTGCTGCCCTTCACCGCCGGGTCAGCTTCATTGCCTCCGCCCTGCGGCTTGGCAGACGCGTTGAGCCGGTTGTGATACTGTGGATTAAACCTTCGTCTTTGGCTATTAGACGTAGTCTACAATAAAAAAAGGAAAAGAAAAGAGGTAGGTGTTAGATGCCAGCAAACAATGAGGACAGCAGCAGAGACCAGGGAAACCGTCTCTAAGCCTCAGGGCAGCTGTTTTACACCCAGAACAGGACAACATGCAACCGAGTCCAGCTGATAAGACCCCCGAGTGTAGAGAACACCTGCTGTTTGCAAATGGAACTCCAAGGAAATGACCGATGGAGAGAGAGAGAGAGAGAGAGGTTACAGAAGTACAAGATGGGCAATTCAAGAACCAGGCCACACCAAGTCAACTTGAAACAGGGCAGAAGCACAGGCCACACAGAAGCAGGGCAATGATGATTCTCTACGATGGAAATTTTGAGGATAGGCTGTAGAGACTACGCATATGAATTTTCACTACATTTATGAAGAAAAAGGGAAAATTCTATTTGTAATTTTTCTGCTCCAAAACAGTTCTTTTCATTTTATTTCAAAATAAATACCCTCGTTCAGAAATGTTATCTTGGGTGAACACAGGGATGAGGTGTATCTGGTAGATCTGGTGGGATGGTGATGTGTATTTTTACAGAGGTAATTGTTCTTTTCCTAAACGCTGCAGTTGTCAGCCAACAAGTTTTGGAGGACCGCAGTGAAAAACGCCACGTTCGACCAACGGGCAGACGAGAACACAGGGATGAGCAGAGAGGAAGCAGGGCCAGCGTGTCTGTGCCTGATGAACAGAAAGATACTGGAATTCCTGGAGGCCAGGAAGAGCTCAGTGCGCTGGTCCCATCTCATTGATCATCACAGCCACCCTGTAAGGCAGTTGTTGTTACTTGTTCACTTTACGGAGGAGGGAGGTACATTTAAGGGGCTTGCCCAGGTCTTCGGTTAGAAAATGGCTAAGCCATTCCTACTTCCCGGACCCTCTCCTGATAAGAGTCACAGATAGGCTGCTACACGAACGCAGACTTTTACTGAAAATCAAACTTCTATTATTGAAACGTGTACCTTTATGAGTTACAAATGTACACAAAGTTCTGAACTGGTGCAGTGCGACTGGGTGGTGGAGGGTTAGGGCAGACCCACCCCCGATAATTCTGGGCTCCGGGCAAGAGCACAAAGGCAGCCCCACCCCACCTGCCTGTACGTTGGGTCTTCCTACCTCTGGCTCCACCACTCATTGTGAGGGGCCCTGCACCCACAACTGGGGGGGGCCCTCCAGCCTGCACCTCAGCCTCGTCTCCGCCCCCACAGATAACCACTCTTGGACCTGGGCGTGTGCAGACTGTAGTGGGGTCTGCTCTCAAGGTGATGTATCCAGGGAAATGGTCCAAACGGGGAAGGCAGGCTCGGGGCCACGTGGGACGAGAATTCCAGGATCTCCAGTAGCTGGAGCACTTTTCAGTAGGGAGGGTACAGGTTTTGGGTAGGCACATCTCCTTGGTCTCGCTCTGTAGCGAGGGCCACGGCTGGGGAAGGACCAGGAAGGGTTACTCTAAAACACGGGACCTTCTTGCCCCATACATAGACAGTGTTCCAGCTTAGATATGTAAGCACATTTCAACTTAAACGAGCCATCACCTGCAATGTTTTGCTGAAAACATTAAGAACAGTGAGCTGAAAAGTATCTATGTGGATAGCATTTAACCCGGCCTCTTTTCTAAAGAAACTGTGAAAGGGAAATGCAGACTACATTTTAACTTCTCATAGGGGGTTTAATAATGAGCAAAGAACAAAAGCTGGGAAGGTGTATTAGACAATAAGGAAAACAGATGTGATCATGATCGCACAGCTGTGCATATGTGAAAGGCTCCCTGCTCCAGCCCGATGTTCAAGTTCACGAAGACATTCAGGGCCAGAGAAATGCCCGTCAGTGTCATTGATGAGAATTCTTAAAGACTGAGACCACGAACCCAGCAGGGCCCCGGTCAGAAAACCAGGATTCTGGAAGTGTTCAATGTCTTTAGAGCACGCCCGGCGTCTGTGCCATCCAGTCCCATTTCTCGTTCCTTCTCTAGTGATAAGAGGCGATCGCTTCTCAAGGACACGCAGAAGCAGAAGGAAGACTGCCCTTTGGACACTGTGTTTTCAGGGGACACACTAGATAAGAGTGAATGATGCCACTTGAAATGCATTCTCTTTACTGAAGGTCCAAGAGAAGAGAGAGAAGTTTGAACTAACTTTGGCCTCTTACTGATAAACATAAGCAGGAATTAAAGAATCTGAAAAAACAAATGCCGGATTTCCTCCCCCATGGTGTCAGGAGCCAGGCTCCGAGTCTTGTCCCTGCGTCTGTGGGAGTCCCTTCCACCTGCGGGCCAGTCCCGGGGAGAGGGGTGGAGGCACTCAGGGAGCAGGGGAGCGGTCTCCCGTAGGCTCTTCGCTGACGTGTCAGGCGTGTACAGGCACTTCCTCCACACGGAAGGCCCTACGGCACCCGGACTGCATGCACCAGGGGAGGCCCTGGGGCCAGCCAGGAGGGTGGAGGCCCCGGGGCCAGGCCGAGCTGCTGGGGGTGGGAGGGCCTGGTGGGGCCCAGGAAGCTCTGTGTCCAGCAGTTGCTGTTTTCTTCCTCTAAGGATGAGTGGTTTCTTCCTGGCCGCAAGGACCAGGGTCTGTGGGACCCGAGGCAGCGCAGGAGCCGCCCCACCCTGACCCCGTACCTGCTTGTTGGGCGGCGTGGCCTGGTGAGCGCTGTCCGCGGTGCTGGGCTGGTTGCCGGCCGTTTTGGGGTTTGCGGCTTTGCCCTCGGAGGGCTTGTGAGTGGACTTCCTGGCGAAGTTGCTCTGTTTCCCAGAGGCCGAGTGCGCGGTCAGCAGTGGCAGCAGGGAGCTGCAGGGGGCTCTGGACGAATAGTTGTTCTTTGGATGTGTAACTGCAACGAGAAAGCAAGCGGCATTAAGGGTTGGGCCACGGCCACGGCCACGGCCGCCTTGGAAACCCACGAGGACATGGAGCTTCATAAAAACACTAAGAAATGCTTTTATTTGTAAAGAGGTCATTCGAAAGGGCACCTTGGTGGCCGGGGACCACCAAGTTCCTTCTGTGCGAATCACTGAACTGCAGTTACAGCATGATCATCCGAGCTGGGAGACGTGGGCAGGAAATAAGACCTCTCTGCACAACTCTAATATTCCTTAGGTCAAGAACACCACGGAAAGGTGGGTAATGAAGTCCTGGAGTGCCCACGTGGCCTGTCCAGAGCTGTGCCTGCCTCCCGGTTCCCATGGCCAACCCCACTCTCGCTGTCCTCAGACCCCTGGCCCGTTGGTCTCAGACGCAGAAGACGGGGAGGGCGGTGAGGGACACTTGGCCCATCAGAGCCATAAAGTTCTGAGAGCAGGACGGGTGTCGGGAATTTTGTCACCTGGATTGTACACATCCCCCGACCCTGGGCCAGAACAAAAGAGGCCCCAAGGCATCTTATACTCCATCAGAGCTGCGTGATCCGGCCTTTCATCACCCCCTTTTCTCCAGCCCCGCTGCGAGGCTGCACCAAGCCCAGCACTCAAGTCCATGCAGGCCGATCAGGGATGGTTTCTTGGTGATGACCTGGCTCGAGGCCAAGGGAAGCGATCTAAGGGTGACGGCTCGAGGCCCTCGCACAGGTCACCAGAATTTGCCTGCCAGGCTGGAGAGCGAGACCCCTGAGTCTTCAAATTGTCCCCAACTTTTAGAAGCAGGTTTCTCTGCTACCTGTGCTGGCTCAGACTTGATCCTCGGGTTCTTCTAGAGCAGTGGTTCTCAACCTTCTGGCCCTTTAAACACAGTTCCTCATGTTGTGACCCAACCATAAAATTATTTTCGTTGCTACTTCATAACTGTAATGTTGCTACTGTTATGAAGCATAATGTAAATATCTGATATGCAGGATGGTCTTAGGCGACCCCTGTGAAAGGGTCGTTTGACTGCCAAAGGGGTCGCGACCCACAGGTTGAGAACCGCTGTTCTAGAGGGTCAGGGGGGACTCGTGGGGATCAGAGAACACGAGGAGTGGAAAGGACAGGGATGTAGCTCTGGTCCGTTGGTTTCAGAGCGGAGGGGCGGTGGCATGGTGGGGGCTGTGCCAACAGCCAGGGGACTTCAGTGCTGACCAGCTTCAGTGTCAGGGAAGCCCTAACTCCCCGCAGAGGAGACCAGTGCTGGTTCAGTAGCTGTGGGCTCTCAACCCAGCTGAGAAGGAGGGGCCTTGGAGAACTATTCTCTCCAAGAGGGGGCCTGTGACTTTTAGATCAAGCTTATATTTTGTACGCTCAGAAAAAAGAGAGCAATTTTCACTTTGACAAAAAAAAAAAAAAAGTGTAGCCAAATCCCCATTTCTCTGCTGACTCTGAGGCTGTGGCTACTCCGCGTCCCTCATGGTCCTCTGTCCTCCTGTGGCTACCCTTGGTGCTCTTCCCCCTCCCCGGTGGGCGGCTGCAGGATGGGAAAGGATCAGCCGGTTTGACTGCACATTAACTGCTCTAATTAAGCCTTGATAGCGAACAAGATGAACGGTAATGGCTGCACTGAAGGCTTTCATTACCTGCAGACTTCACTCAGCGCAGAACCGAGGGACAGGCTCGGGCACGCGGAGCAGCGCACCCCCAGCCGGGCCCTCAGGACAGTGGCCGCTGTGCCTGACTTATCAGGAAGACGCTCCTGGCGACCAGGTCTCTACCTCGGAGCAGGCTGTTGGGATGGGAGAGGCAGTGTATCTGGCTCTGCTTAAGGAAAGTTTGCAAAAGGTCTAAACTAGTTGCCCTGTTCCGTTCTGCTCAGTAAATCCTGAGGATTTACTGATGGGCAGTGGCATCGGGAGACTCTGAGTTCAGAGCTTGACATTTCCAGTGACTTGTGTCATGCCCTTAGATCATTAAATCTCGTTGGGCCTCGCTTTAGCCCCCTGGGGACCGCGCCTGACACACCAACTCCAAGTAGCGCCGGGCTCACTGGCACAGGGTCACTGAGCCAGCGCGCAAACTCACTTCCCCGCAGAGCATGATCTGGGCCTTGAGCTGTTCAATGTCGCAGGAGAATCGGGCCGCTTTCCCGAGCTCTTCATCATATTTACGTTCGCTGACAAAGTGCTGGAGGCAAGAGAGGAGAGCAGGAGTTAGCGCCACACGACAGAGATGGCGGAGGCTCACGCAGGCGCCTCTCTGCTCAGCCGCTGCCGTGGCCGGTGTTAGCCAGGCGGGGTGAGCCGGCTGCGAGGACCCCGCGTCAGACCTGGCTCTGACCGGCCTGGAGCCCGATCACCTTCCTGTCCTGGGGACACGTGTGGGTCCCGGCTTTCCCCGGCCTGGGCGTAGACAAAACGGTGATCCAGGCAAAGTGAGCGTCCGGACTCATCTCCTGAACCTTGTAGCACCCCTCACCCTCCTTGCAGTGTTTTATGTCCTGTTGTAAGTTTTTGGGTCGAGCTCATCTTCCTGATTTGGCCGATGGCGTGCTCAGGCATTACTACGCCTCAACAGAAGACATGCCATTCTTCCCTAGACACTCCTCTCTCTTTTTAAAAAAAACATATTTTTATTGATTTCAGAGAGAAAGGGAGAGGGAGAGAGAGATAGAAACATCAATGATGAGAGAGAATCATTGATCGGCTACCTCCGGCACGCCCCACCCTGGGGATCAAGCCCACAACCCGGGCATGTGCCCTGACCAGGAATTGAACCAGTGACCTTCTGGTTCCTAGGTTGATGTTCAACCCCTGAGCCACGCCAGTCGAGCCACCCTTCTCTGTGTTCTTAGGGGACCAGGAAGTCTGAGTAGCTTTCAGTAACTGGAAAACCCTGTCTTGGTAGAATTCCAAGTGCTGTTAGAGGAAGTAGGAAAAAGATTATCTTTCAATTCATTTGAAATGAAGATTTATGTGCAGAGGACAGAGTGAGAAATGCAGAAATAGCTATGACTCAGTTCCTCCTGGAGGTTACCAGAGAGTTTACCACGTGGCAAGGGAAACAGATACCATCAACTACAACACCGGGTGACTGTGGCTATGCTTCAGGAATATAAAAGAGGAAGAAGAAGAAAAAAATAAAAAAAAAAAACAATAAAAGGAAGAAATTATTTCCCACTGAGGGGCAGGGGAGTTATGTAAGGAAAGCATGTGAGCTGGAACATTAAAAAAATGGGCCAAATTCTTCACAGATAATCTCATTTTCATCTGGTCACAGTGCTATGAAGTCAGTACTATTATTATCCCTGTTTTACAGAGAGGGGACTTGAGGCTCTAAGAATCTGTAGCTTATCTGAGGTTGCAGGAGTTAGTCTGCTACAGCCCAAAGCCCATGTTATTAACCATATTATGTTCAGAGGGATTCTGACAAGCAGAAACAAAACTTGGCAGATGAATAGTTTCAACAGACGAGGAAGCTGGCAACCTCATACTCCTCACTTCATCCTATATAAGAAAAGGCTGATATGCAAATTGTCCCCTCTATGGAGAGTTTGACCGGGGGTGGGGGGGGGGGTGGCGCCAGCCGGACCCCACCTGTGCACGAATTCGTGCACTGGGCCTCTAGTGTTCTAATAAGAGGGAGAGAGAAGTTGGATGTGTAGACACTGGAGCCCAGCTGTGGAGTTTGCTCTGAGGGAAATTCAGACCTTGCTCTGGGGCTGCACCTCCCGTGTGAGGGTGGATGGCCAGGCTGGAGGGCGACGGTGGAGGCACAAAGATGAATTAGGAGGCCATGGCAACTGAGTGGGTGGGAAGCCACCAAGGTCAGAAGAGAAGGTGAGAAAGAAGAGACCGATAGTCTCCCAGGACTCTTGGGGTCCTTATTTCCTGCTCCTTTCCATGCCCAACCAAAGCAAGGAGACTGGGAGCCACTTGCCTAACCAGTTTCATGCCCAGATGGGCAGACAATCCTACTTATAAAGCCTGTTGCTTCTAAGTACTCTAGTTCCCAAGAAGTAGGTCAGAGGCTGGTGTGCACGTGTGTGTGTGCTTAGTATACTGGGGAAGAAGAGAAAAGGGGAAACTTATAAGTTGCAACTTCCTATTTTATTGTAGATACTTGTTTTTGCTTTCTGGTAACCATTTCTCCTTCTGGTAACTGTACCCCAACATGGTTTCAAAGACCCACAGTCTTGGGGGGGGGTGTGTCAATCAGAACTCTTGGGCTCAATGGTGGCTGTGACCCAGTAGAGGCCGGTCAGAGTCTCTCTCTGGGACTTGAATCGAATGGGGCACAATGGCTGATGCCCCGAGGAGCGTCTGGTAATTACTGCTGCCCAGTCACCCAAGCCCCCCAGGCTTCTGCCTAATAGCAGTCGGAGTCTTCAGATCCCACTCTGCGTTGGTGAGCTACACCCATGCTCTTTCACATTTTACTTGTTCTGGAGGGTAGCCAGGGTCAGTTTCTGCTGCTCACCCCTGAAATCTAGTGGACACGTACTTGTGGGTGGTACCCTTAACAAAAGGGCAACTAAGCTAGGCAAGGACGTAGGGAAGAGGTCTCCACATACGGTGTATTCTCTAGAATCCTTACTGTTCCACTACGTTCAGACTTAGTGTGTTCACATGGTGTGTTTATATACACACACATAAGTTACATGAGGTGAAAATAACATCCCATCTCAGCTGTAATTCATGTTTGAATGCATTGTATTTAGGTCAGTCCCCACTGCCTAAGAAAATAGCTTGTACCTCCCTCCCTATTAATGCCCGTTCAAACCATATATACGGAAATACAGCGATTAGAAGGCTCTTCAGCCTCCTGTTCTCAATTTCAGCCTTGCGAAAGGGAGCTGGGTGTGAGACGCTGGGTCCTCAGAGAGCAGCTCTATGGGTGCCACACGCACGTGATGGGGTCGGGTCTCGGGCTCAGGGCTCGGGACCCAGGCTGCGGTTGCTGGAAACTGACCTTGATCTCTGCCCTGAGTTCGGCCAGCTGCATCTCTGCCATCTGACTGGCCAGGTCAGTGAGCCTCTTCAGTTCTTCTGCCTTCTTCTGACGAGCAGTCAGGATCTCCACTGCCAAGTGAGAGGGAATACGTTAGGGTCAGCGATGTAAACACAGGAAGTGACCTGACTTCTGGGAGTCAGTTCTCCTTCAGTAGAGTGGTCACCCAGCTGGACCATGGCTGCTTTCTGAGTTGGTCATCGAGGTGGGTTCGAGTTGGTGCTCATCACCAATCACCCGTTTCTGGATGTCCTCGCCCACCCATCCCAACAAACACGATCCCTCTGATTCACTGCACACCCACACACAGTCTTCTTCATTTTCCTCACTGGCATCTGGTCTCACTGACTTAATCTGGACTTTTAAATGTGTGCGTTACTCAGAACAGCTATTTCAAAAAAAGGACACATATTAAAATCCTATCTGAATGGTATTACAAAGATAGGAGTCCATTAAGCCAAACTCATTCTTCTGTGTGCTGTCCTGCTAAATTCTAACAGCATCAAGCTTCCTGAACCTTTACACACACCCGGGGCAACCAGCTGTGTTACTGGAGTATGACATAAAGGGTTCACTTGATTGGATCTTTGTGAGCTAAAAATGCCTTTTCTTTTGACACTCTGCAGATATGTTTCCATTCTGCAATCAGATGGAGGTTCCAGACCAGAGTGTCCTGGCTTTGTTTTTAGTGTCTCCATGGAAACATCTCAAGGGCAAGTCAAAGCCCCTTTGAGCTGGATTTGTGGGCACTCCTTAGCATCTGCACACACAGCGAAGACACCAGGGAGCTCGCTGGTACCACATTTCACACATCTGCCAGATGGACTAAGGCTCACGTAGATGTAGTAAGCCACAAGTTAATCTGTGTGTTCACGTGCGTGTGTGTACATGTGTGTGTTTCCCAAAAGATCATGAAACTCAAAAGCAATGAGCACAAACCTATGGGGTGAGATTTAATATGAAGTCTGATCTTTCAACAGATAGACTTGAAGCTCTCTAATTCAAGCCACACAGGATATGCCTTCATTCCTCTGGACAAATATTTTGAGTTATAAGAAAGGAGAGGCCCATCTAACTAAGATACTATGCACACAACACATCCTGTTCTAGGTTGAACGAAGGTCAACTGCTTCCTTAGACCTGATTCGCAGCACACACGCAGAGCCAAACAATGTGACTTCTCACTGTGAGAGTTCTTACTTCGTAAATGTCAAAAACAGTCACCTTAAAACCCCCCAAGAAGTTCAGAGGCAGTCCAGAGTTAAGAAGACTTCCTGCACATCAGAAACCATTCTTCAGTCAGACAGAGAAACATTATGTTTTTGCTGAGATGTCAATAAAATAAGAAATCTACAAGTAAAGCCTTACCATCTGCCAAACTACTCTAATCATGCTCTAGCTATTCACCGGGACTCCCCCGCCTCCTGCGTACACCAGGTAGCTGGGCAGAGGCCAGTCTAGGCCTGGCGGCCTTGCGGAATACAGGGAATTCCCATCTGACCATAGACAGCGTGTCACCGCACCATGTCCCAGGTTACCCAGTCAGACCAGAGGGCACGAGAAGGTGACCCACTTTCACCTTTGGCTACAGAGCGCATATGTTTTGTTTGTTCTGCACATGACAAGTTGATTTTTGAAATTAACTGCCCACATTTGAAAATAAGGGGAGTCCGTGTGAGAGCTGGACTCTGGCTTCTCTTCAGATAACTAGAATTTCTGGCCACGGTTGGCGAGCATTTCCCTGTGGCAGCAGCTGGCTGGGGCTGAGAACTTGCTGCCCTTTTCAGGCGGAGCTCGGCGCTCACCGGGCCTGGTCCCTCCCTGCCCTGTCAGCTGATGAATGTCACCTGCCCGGCTTCTGCAACAGGCATCTCCCATCACAGCAGTGACCGCACATGCTGTTATTTGCGTCCATAACACCTCAGGGCTGGCACACATGTTGGCTGAATGGACTGAATGAATGAACCAATCCGCTACTTAAAAGGAATATGCAGAGAGGACAGAAGTTCCTTTTCCACGGGGGCCACTTAACATCTAGGACTCGTACCTTTGAATATTTGTTTGCCAGTATATTCAACCTATGGACGGGACTAATGTCTGGAGCATGGAAAAATTATTTTTGAGTAAGAAGATGAAAGAAAGTACTTTCTTTGTGCAAAGTCTTAAAAAATTCTGAAGGCCCAGACTTGACAACAGCTAGCACAGGGGTCAGCGGACCCTGAGTGAGGACACAGTTAAGCAGAGCTGACGTTTCTTAACGGATCATTTATGGGACTGGTGACAATTAGGGGCAATTGTTCTTTTTGATTAGGTAGAACTTGGGCATTCACACCAAACAAAAGATTTTATAGAAATAGAGATAAACGGGTCCTAAAATAGGAATGCAGGTGCAAGGTCACCAATAAAGCCTTAGTTTACACTCTTGTAGATGTGCAAGGGAATGCAAATGTTGCATCAGCAAGTGTTGGGATGAGTTTTACATATAGTCTCATTAACATTTCAAAGCCGTTCATGATGAGAAAGCCTTAAAACTTGAGATCTAAAGCTACATGCTTTGGGGAGAGGCATTTATTTCACCTCAAAAACATCAATCACAGAAGTAAAAAGCAAAAAACAAAACCAGATCGGATCCTAAAATTCATTGATCCTAAAATTTAAAATAGAATAACAAGTGTGTTGTGAAAGCACCCTCCTTTGACGCCTCTGTGGAGGGGACAGTTCACGCAGCGTTAGGCTTCCGCTGCACGCAGGACTCGGTTCAGATTATTTAGGCACTTTTGTGAACAGCATCTGGCGTGCTGAAAGCCGTTTTCTCAACAGGAATTAGACATTCCTTCAAGTTCCTGAAACACACTGGGAGCTTGCTCCTATTGCCTGGGCCTTGGACAATGTTGAGGGCTTCGTAAATAAAGCTCCATCGCGGGGAGAGTCCTTGAAACCCTGGGACGCAGGGAGCTGGGGCAGAAGTAGCTCTTCGGGTACAAAGATTCTTTGAAATCCTTTTTATTCCTGAAAAAATTCTTGTGAATCCTGCATTTTATTTCACAATGTGTCTGTGTTCCTATTAGTGTAAAGTAATGTTTTCTTCCCACATTTCTGGCCAACTTGGCTCTCCAGGAACCTGCCCATGTGGGCCTTCCCCTCCCTGGTACCCGGACAAAGTCTGGGGCCACCGCACTCCGGCAGCCTGGTCCCCGCATCTGCACAGTGTGATAGCCCCACGCCTCGCGAGGCCACTGGGAAGCTACACGCAGTAACGATGAGAAGTGGCTAGTACCGTACATTCCAGAAAAGCTCACTACGAATATTATTAATAGAGCGAGATGTATTCATCTAGAACAGTGGTTCTCAACCTTCCTAATGCCTCGACCCTTTAATACAGTTCCTCATGTGGTGGTGACCCCCAACCATAAAATTATTTTCGTTGCTACTTCATAACTGTAATTTTGCTACTGTTATGAATCGTCATGTAAATATCTGATAAGCAGGATGTATTTTCATTGTTACAAATTGAACATAATTAAAGCATAGTGATTAATCACAAAAACAATATGTAATTATATATGTGTTTTCCTGTGAAAGGGTCGTTCAACCCCCAAAGGGGTCGGGACCCACAGGTTGAGAACCACTGATCTAGAATATACTTTCTCTGTTTGTAATTACCTTAACGTTCACCGATATTGGGTCCCGCAGCCTATAGACACTGAATTAATTACAATGGTTTGTTTAACAAATATTAGAAAGTACCTACAGCCTTCTCAGTATTGTGTTAGGTGCCATGAGGGATATTAGGAGCTTATGTTATAATTGAGGAAATATGGTTTCTACCGTGTGCAGGAAATGAAAAGTACTCGTGAGGCAGTAGATAAGCAAGCTCAAGGTGGTGGCTGTACAGACGGTTCGTTACCTTGTGGGAGAGAGTCTCCCAGCTTCTGTGTGTGGAGACGACACGGCTGACACAGGCCTGTCACCTGAGATGCCGCATGGCCCCTGACCTGCACCGTGTGACTGTCCAGGAGGGGGCTGGGCTGCCCTTTGCTAACAGAGCTAAGTGCCTGGCACGGATTTTCTCATTTCACCTTTACAATAGCTATTTGAGATAGATACTATTCTTTTTAATATATCTTTATTGATTTCAGAGAGGAAGGGAGAGGGAGAGAGAGACAGAAACACCAATGATGAGAGAGAATCATTGATCGGCTGCTTCCTGCACACCCCACACTGGAGACCGAGCCAAAAACCTGGCCATGTGCCCTGACTGTGACCTCCTGGTTCACAGGTTGACACTCAAGCACTGAGCCATGCAGGCTGGGCCTCGAGACTAGTCTTATTCCCCCTTTTCTGATGTGCAACCACAGAGTTTGAGACATTCACAAAATGGTTCAAGGTCACACAGCCAGTAAATGGGTGGAACTTGGACTTGAACTCGGTTCTGCTTCCCCAGCTCTGGGCAGCGGCCAGAGAGCTCCCGCAGGCCTCCCCGTGGCTGTCCCAGGCACTAACATGCTCAGACACAGGGCAGCACACGGTCATGTTTCCTGACCGAGCGAGATGTGGAAACGGGGTGCTCTCCTGAGAGGTTCCGAGTTCCTTAGGTCCTGGCACCGAGCACTGTCCGGAGAAGAAGAACGAGCGCACGAAATCGCGGGTGTTGTGTTAACCTCTCAGGCAGTGATGTGCCCGCAGCTTTCCGCTTGGGTGCCAGGGGAGCATTTGTGCCTGTGTGAGCTCTTAATGCTGTTACCAATAGGGCATGAAACGGAAAAGGGAAGATCAGCTTTACCCGAGACATAGGAAACATCCCCTCCAGTGGAAATCCACTTTTACCTCAGAAACCAACCAACTGCAGAAGCATAAAACAACGTCTCTATGGAAGGGACGGTGTGATGACCTCACTATCCCACAGCTGGACCCTGGGCCACATTTAGTTTTATTTAATCAAACCTGCTCTATTTTAGATCCTGGAAATTTGCTTGTAATTATTTAGAAAAGCTGGGTAAGAAAAATAACAATAGCTATTTCCCATGAAGGGACTACTGACGTATGGACACGGGCCAGGCGAGAAGAATGTGAAAAGAATGCAGAATCTGGCCCGAGCCTTCATTCCGGTAACAGAGATGCAGTGCCGTCAAAGTGAAGGCATTTAGCTGAAACCCGGCTGGGGCTGCAGACTGCCATCTGTCTAATTCACATGATGAAATTTCGGTAAAGATGGAGAATTTAAAATGCTCAGGGGATAGGAATTGTAAAAGTAAATCCCAGCTTAAAAACATGGTCTCAGGGTTCCCGTGACCAGAGCAGGCTGAAGTCAATGCTGAGAGAGGGCTCCCGCGTGTCCCCTTGGGCTGGTGTTGGATCTGATTGTGCAATCTTGTCTCGGCTGGAATTTCCAACCCACGAGCCTCGGCCCATTTGAGACGGCAAATCTGCCCCACCTGCTGTCGCGGAACCTCGCAGCAGTGGAAAGATTTAGAGACGCGTCTGAAGATAACAAAATAAATCAAACCCAGGGAACAAATACTTTATGTTAAAACTAGGAAAAGTTTTGCAATGATCAAGATGGTCTGAGTGTGTTCATTGTTCAGTGTCTGGTACATTGGGCAATCTCACTTGTGATTTCAATTTAAAACATGCAATTCATCTTCTTTTGAGGCATCAAGCTGGCAGGTGTCAGCCAATGCGCCTAAGTCTGTGAACGGAACTGGAGCGGGTCAGGAAAACTTCACCGAGTGCATCTCTAAGTCTGAGCTGCTCATCTTAGCAGAGCTGCTGACAAGCTTGGGGTGCTCTGCCCATTAGGTTTGTGAGTTTGCCTGGTCAGACGCCTGACGTGCTAAAAAAATAAAGACCAGACATATTAAATTCATAAATGTTCTTTAAAATGTGAAGAGGAATTTAAGTTTCAAATGGGACTTATTTTTTTTTAGGAAATTAAATTTGGTTGGACATCAGTTAGTTGAACCTAAAAAAGGACCAAGTGAAGAGGACTGTGCAAGTTGTAGAGCGAGATTTGTAAGTTGTGAAGGCTTAAAAGTTATGTTTTAAAGTTTAATACGAAAATTAATGTCATTTTAAATCCAACTACTGGAAGTAGCCCAGTATACGCACCAAAGTCCCTCTGGACTTGAAATAACTCCTGGGACACCTGGTACTTGCCGAGTGCCCATTCTGCACGTGCGCAGTGGGCGAGGCTATGCCCCTTCCCACATGAGGTCACAAGGTCACGGAAGTCCCCAGGGGCTAAGTGATGTACTGCCCAAGGTGATGGCGCTCCAGAGCCGGGAAACTGCGTGGATTTCAGGACCCAACTCGGAATCCATATCACGGTCAGTCTGACCTACAGACAGCTTCCGACGGGAGGCCCCTGGCCCAGCCACGAGGGGTGTACTTACTGGCTTCTTCTTTGACTTGGTCCATTTCTGCCATCAAGGAAACTTCTTTGTCAATGATGCTGAGGGGAAACAAAACAGAAACCAAAGCTAAGAATGCGTAATCAAAGACGAACTTGTAATAAGCACTGGAAGTAAAAGGAAGGTTATTTTCATTAAACAAAATGCGAAATCACCATAACTATTTCCCTGTGGCAACGCCAGCCGCACACTCTGCTTTTCCGAAATGAGGCGACGTGGAGGGACGTGCCCAGGGATGACACGGTGACAGCTGCTGATTAAATCACTGTCAGCAAGTCTAGAAACAAGCCTTTCGGACTTCCAGGATGGCACCGCTTTGAATTTGAATTTGGGAGTATTTTTGCCCTACGAGTTCCCAAGTTCCACAACAATATAATACATATTTTAAAAACTGGTGCACGGGTCATGGAGGCTGGTAAGTTCTCTAGGGTCTCCGTGCTTCACTCTCCCAGACTCTGGCTGTGGGCCGGGGGGATGGAGGGATGGGGGGGGGGGGAAGCCATTTACTTTTGAGAAATGCGGCTGCTGGTCAATCCACCCACATGCTCTATCACATGAGTCTATGCCTCCTCATTCTCCCAGGAAAGCGTTTCAAGCATCTTCCAATGAACATTGCTCCACAGGGCACGGAACAGGAGTCCCGGACAACCGCTTTGGGCCTTAGGGCTCGGGAAGAGGCCAGCGGACTACTGGGTGGCAGGTCACGGGAGACTGGCAGGTAACTTGTCCTCCCTCCTCTTCCTCAGTGGTGTGCAGCGGGTGGCCTGGGTTTGGGATGGCTGCACAGGAATATGCCACAGACAGCACTAGAAACAGGGGGAGACTGGCAAAACCTTCATCCGTGGAACAAATATTTGCCAAGTGTCTGCCATGTACTAGGCAAGGGTGGTGAGGCTGGGAATACCGCTGTGAATGAAAAAAAATTACTACCATCCTTGGGGAGCCTACATTCTTTGGGGAGAGGTGAGAGGATCTGCTGAAATTACTGGGAAATAGTGAGAACCAGAAGAGGGAAGAAAACGGTGATGGCAAGAAGAAATTAGGGCTCCCCGACCCTCAACCAAACAGAAGGCTTCTAACTGGTCTCCAGGTTTTGAGAGCTCGCAGAGTATACCACATAGGAAATGCATCCATGGGTACAAGCCTGGGGGTATCCAGACAGCCTCACCAAGTCCCCACCCCCTCTGACCCCCCCAGGCCACAGGCCCTGCAGCTTGTGTGTGTTGGGTGAGGAGAAGAGTGTAGGAAAGGCCGCTGCAAATTTTTTGCCAGCTCCAAAATCATGGCCAGTTTTTGCATATTCATTTTCCTTTGGCATCAGTAAATCTGATTAAATCTGTTAATATCATTATGTACCCAGAGGGTTTAGGAGATGGACAATGGACATCTGGGGCACAATACACCCTCCCCCCCAGGTCTGATGCATAGGACACAAAGCTGGGCACTCACACAATGGTGAGTTCGGCCTCCTGGGCCTGCCACTGGAGGAATGGAGGCTACGCACAACTCACTGTTAATCTGCTTCATGCCTATGTGAGGATGTGAAAAAGCCCGTGAAGTTGGCACCAAACCAGGCTTCTGTGCCTCTGGTATTTCAACAAAACACTGTTCTCAGCGTCTTAGTAATTCAGGTGCTGCTCTGTGCGACTGTGTTCAAAACTCCCGTGGATACAGGCAGCTGGGAATCTGCTGAGTCAGGCCCCTCGTCGGAACCAAGGATCTGAAGGCACACCCGGCCCGACAGCTCCTGCTGAGCCTCCCTCAGGCACCGCACGAGGGGCGCCGGAGCCTTTCCTTGGGCTCTGCTTTCAAGGCCGCAGGCCTGGAGGGAGGAGCAGCCGTGGGAGGTGGGTGCAGGGGCCGGGCCGTGGAGGCCAGCCCGTCCTCTGGCGGCTGCTGCACCAAGCTGAGCGCCAGACCACAGGAAGGGCCAAGAGAAAAGCCTGTCTGAGCCTCCCAGGTGCCCACGGGGCCTGGTGGTGTGGCATCGGCTGCACGAGGCATTTCATCAGTGCCGTTCGCACGTCCTATTGAATCTTAGAGGCACCGGACAGAGAGACACTGCAGTGCCGCCTGGTGACAGACAGCTCCACGGGCGGGACCAGGCCAGATGCTGGGCGAAACCCTGGGGCGGAGTTACCAGCTGTGGAGGCTGGAGGGAGGGAGAGCCTTTGAGAGGAATGCCAGCTGAGAGCTGAGGAGTCACAGAAAAGTCACAGACAGTGTCGCCAACCACATGCCCACAGGGAGGCACAAAGGTCACCTGCTTGCTTTCCGGGTACACCTGTGTGGCCATGTCCGCCCTCAGTTACCTCAAAATGAGGCTGGTCTTGGCTAGCACATCCTGGCAGCTTGCTGCGTCCCAGGCACGTTGAACAGAGCGCCAAGGCCTTGCTGGGGGATCTCATGTAAGCTTCCAGGAGGGCAGGAGCTCTGCTCGCAACTTGCCACAGGGCGTGGCACATGCCTTTGCCTCGGCTGGAAGGCAACGCTTCTTCCTCTCATTAAGTCCGAGCATCCCTTCAGGCCTCTGTTTAATCATCACATCTTCAGGGAAAGGCCGAGTGTTTAAAAGCTGTGTGATCTTAGACTATTGTGAGTTGCTCCACAAAAATTGCTTGATCGTGATGAATGTAAGGGAAGAAAGCATATTCATTTTCCTGTGGCATCAATAATGAAACTTCTCCTTAATTGGTATATTGTGGTGCTTGCACATAAATCACGCTTATGCAACAATTTATATCATGTTTGTCTCTGACGGAATCTAATCATTTGAGACACAAACTGATGAATAAAAGTGCACCGATATTCACCAAACCACACAGGGTTTGGCTTCAAATCAAAACAGGTAGTTAATGATTCTGTTCTCAAATTGAGACGGCGATAAATTATTGAAATCTGTGCTCTCCCTCCGCTAATCACCTGCGACTCTAAGTTTTGAACATTTCTGCTTTCCGCAGTGGTTGCCGGAACCGGACTGGCACACAGAACGCTGCCACGGCTGTCCGCCGGCCACTGCGAGGCCTCTCCGTGGTCGGGTACGGTCCCGAGGTCACCGACTTCAGCCACGTGACCACGTGCCACCTGCACTGAGCTCACATAAACCCACGCTGACCTCATGGGCTTCAGATGCGCCCTTTCCCTTCCAAAACACACCTCCTCGTTTCACCCAAACTCTCCGGACAGTAAAGTTTTATTCTGTTGCCATAAAACAGCGTTTATTATCAAAGCAATAAGGTGTGAAGAGAAGGAGATTACCATGGCGGAGCCTTTACGGTTTATTATATAGTTAATCACGGAGATAAAGTGTCATTTTATAAGAACGTCCCCGCTGTCTCGATTCCTTTCTGTAGAGGACTCATAATAACAACAATAAAAAGAATCGGAAAGGCACTTCAGCAGGATGGAGCGACCCGTCCCTGCTCCGTGGAGGACTCTTCTGTAAGCCGGACCGAGGCCCGAGGGACCGGCTGCTTCGGCTGGCAGCGGGATGGGCTGGGTCAGGTCTCAGCTCTTCCCAGACGAAGGTGCTGGGACAGGAGCAGCCACACGCTGCTGAGCTGTGAGCAGAACCAGCTGGGGACACTGAGGCACAAACGCAGAATCTCAAAGGGCATGTGAAGGCATCCATGTGCAGCAGCAGCTGGAGGTAGATGCTGGGGTTCAGAGGGGCCCCTCCCACCTCGGGGCATGGGCCACGGGGCGTCTGCCTCAGGCCTGCAGTGGAGAAATGGCCTGGCCCATCTCATAGCCACAGTTCTGTTTCAGAACCTCCTTATGGAGGAAATGCTTCGGGCTGGAGCTGCCTTAACCCTCAGCTGCCAAGCGGAGCGAAGCAAGCAGAGCTTCTGGAAGGAGACAGCGAGGAGCCCAGAGCCCCGCAGGCCGAGGAAGGTCTCCTGTCCGCCATCGAGGGAAGAGGCTGTGTTCGCTGCTGGGCGAGGGGGCTGGGGGATGCTGATGCTGACTCCGCCGTCTGGCCCCCGCGTTCTACACACAGCACACAAGTGAGCAACACTCGCTAATGCAAGGATTCCCGTGTAAAGAACTTCAATTTCTCCCACACTGCACACATCCCCCCACGGGGGCTCCCTCCTCACCACTGCACCAGCGGTGAGCACCGTGAGCGCCCGAGGGACGCCTGCTGGGCTCCTGGCACCTTGCAGCGCCCAAGGGCCGCCGTGTGTGTGTGTGTGTGTGTGTGTGTGTGTGTGTGTGTGTGTTGGTGTGGTCGGGGGAGGGGGGCTGGGGCTCAGGAGGGAGCACAAGAGAAGAGCCCGCCTGTACTGCCCACAGGTTCAGGCACCCAGGTCCCCTCCCTGGAGTGACAGGACTTCCCCTCCCGGCGAGGGGCAGACAAGCTCCACGTACACATTGGGGGTGCACAGTGCCAGGGTGCCATGTCCAGGCCATCTCCTCAGGTATTACCACACGCTCTAGGGCCCAGGGCCAAGCCAGTCGGGGTTCAGCTTACCCATTTCCCGGGCACAGACGCAGCAACACTGAGCTTCTCTATTCCCAGGCGGGAGGAGGGCAGCCCAACACCTACGACAGGTGCCTGTGCACGGCGCTCTCCAATGCACTCAGCTGCCAACCAGGCCAGGCTGTTTTATTTCTATTATTTTTTATCGGAGGTAATATCATCTGTTAATGTTAGCACCTCCCCGTCTGCATGCTTTGGAATCCTACGATGATCGGCAGCACAGCTAATGAACATTTCATCACGCTGTCTGAGGTGCATTTCTGGGATGAGACACACGCAGATGGCGCACCAGGACCAACTCCCAACACGTAGGAAACACGGGAGTCCCTCAAATCAGACACAGCTGATTGAAAAACAAACACAGGGATTCCTCTTTCTCCTTAAAATTTCTAAGAGTTGCAAAATCCTGCGACTTCTATGAATTCCACGTTCAACAGGAAAAATCTGTAGTCCTTACACACCTCCATTTAGAATTTTACGTGTGATTTTGCTTACTAGGATTTCTCAGCTTTGCTAATTACTTCTTAGTTTCGTTTCTTTCCATGGTGATCACTATTC